GACTGTTTGAGAAGAAATCTGTTCGATCAGATCTACAAGCTGATCAAGGTGATACATCAAAACCACCATTGTTACCTATTCGAGGTCTGTGAAAGAAGAAAGCTAACTCTATCTAATCTACATTTGTTTTGGCGCTTGAGATCAGATACGCAGAAAAGGGATTTTTAGAAGTCTGTAAGAAAAAGCAYGCTCTGAAGCATTCCCTTAAGGATTTGGTGTTGTGGAAATCCTTGCATAAAAGACTTGTACATTGTGCAAAATAATTTGTAATTAAGAGTTTTTTGAAAATTATGCATAAAATGGTTGTAACTTGTGTTTAAAGAGTTGTATTTAAGACTTTGTCTTAAATGCTTATATATGTAGTATAGATATATAGTACTTCATGCATAAAAAATAGTTTTTAATAATTTTAAAATACCAAAATTATAAACGTCTATTTCATGTTACATTCAACAATTCTTCTCTTTCAATCGTCGAGAGCCTCCAAACAAATTCTTAATATTTAATAAATAATAAACTCTAAATTTAAATAAAAAAATATATTAAATTTACATAAGTTGTTATGTTTCTTGTCTTATTCACTCGGGTTTAATTCACATTTATTTATTTTTAATTTTTAATTTCTAATTTTTATGATAATATGTTAATAAATTAAGGTTTTTTCGGGGTGTCGATTGGGTTACGTTTTTAACTACTCTCTTGTCTCCTTTATGCGTAAAGGAAATATGAACATTCCTATCGATATTGGATCATGCTCCTAATCCATCATCGTCTACAAATTACATCAATCATTTTCTTTGAGGTTCAAGTCACAGCAAGTCCTTTTTTTGTGTCATGTTTCTTAATTCTTACCGATTTTAGGTTTGATTTTATTTAGCGTATATTAATTGTAAACATTAAATTCAAATGATCCGCCAAGTGTTGAGTGATATAACTTCGTCTATAAAATGAGGATAGTGATCAATCGAAGTTCTTTTTCTATTGTACCTACACACTTGAATGTTGTTATAATTTTACGCTAAAATTTTAACTCTCATTCTCCTGTACTCTATATTTTCATGATATCAATATACAAGAAAGTGCTGGAATTAATGCAAGAGCCACATTAATTAGTTTTCCACGC